TGTTATTTAACTAATAAAAGGCAGGCTTTACTTTTGGCCCTTCTGCCAGCAAGCGTGGTCAACGGGATTGTAATGTGCTCTGGAGGGATCATACTGGCTCTGGACTGCAGAATCCATCCCCTTTTCACTGTCAAAACAATAAAGCTCATTTTAAATGGAGTCACAGAAAAACACTTGGTCCCTTTCGAAACAAACAATTATATTTCTTAAATAAAATGTTCCAAGTCAGTTTAATATTTGAAAATTTTTTGACTTTAACCTTTCCTTCTCTTTCTGTTCAGCAGCGTCAGAGATCTCCCCATTCTTCTTTTTTTCTCCCTCAACTTGCTCCTCTTTTTCCAGTTTTACAGCTGCCTTTCTGGGAGCTACAAGAGATTGTAAGTTATATAAAGAGTTTAAAAAAAGTTAAACTAAAAACGAAAATTGTTTTACTAATCATACAAATTTGGGGATACCCTACACATGAGGGTAAGTAAATAATGACCATGTTCATTTTGGAGTGAACTATCCCTTCAATTAAAAAGACGGGAGAAAACAGAGAAAGAAAAGGACAAAAAGCTTACCAAAAAAGCTGCTGATAGGTTTCTTTTTGGCCGATCCCTCTTCTGTGTTTTTTTCTTTTTTAACCACTCGTTTAGGACTGCTATCTTCCTTCTCTTGTTTGCCTTTTTTTTCTTTCTTCCCATTTTCTCCATTTATCTTTTTCTCCTGTTTTATGTCACTTTTATCCTTTTCTTTCATCTCATTGTTTGCATCGTCCTCAACTACGGCTGATTTTGCTTTATCCTCCCCTTTCTGTTCCTCCACAGCAGTCTTCCCATCTGCTCTCTTCTCTTCCACCTCCATCATCTCGTTGTCTGAGTTGAAGAGAGAAAGAGAAGAAACAATGAGAAACGTATGAAGATATTGGACAGGATACCTGTGCACAGAGATCAGCTCATCTCACCTGTTTTTCCAGGTGAAGACTCTACTCGTGCTCTCTTACTTTCCTGCGCTCCATCGACTTCATTCTCCTCCTCTTTTGTCCCCTCTCCATCACTTCTGCTTTCCAGCTTCCTCTTGGGGAAATGCTTGCGGGCTAGAGAACGGGAGAGGGATTTTAACCCTATAAAGCCTACCGTCTCATATTTGGTACATAAACTTTGCTGAAAAACCTGTGGTACACAATCTACTTCATGCCTTCTGTCATCTGTAGTGGTCGACCGATATATCGCCAAGGCCGATATTTGGCATTTTTAAAATATCGGCATCGGTCGATATGTTTTCCTGTTTGGCCGATGCATTCGAGGCGGGACTTTTATTTAAAAAAAAAAAGAAAATGATTTTTTGCCTATTATTTCATGTCAGGCTTTACACGGTTAGGATGAATTTGCCAGTTCACATAAAAAAAGACAGCTGGAACTGTTTTTTGGAGTATTAAGAAGAATTAAAGAAACAATAAATGATGAGTAGTACAAGAAGGAATGTGGCAAGAAGAGACTGATACAGACCAGTCTTGCGTTTGGGAATGCCTGATGGCGATGTTGATGTCGGAGTTGCTGGAGTTCCTGGAGTACCTGAGGAAGCAGGGGTTACCACGGCAACAGAGGTACTCGACGTGACAGGAGTCGTTGGGGTTATGGGAGTTTTTGGAGATACAGTGGAAGCAGCCTTTGCAATAACAGAACCGATATATCGCCAAGGCCGATATTTGGCATTTTTAAAATATCGGCATCGGCCGATATGTTTTCCTGCTTGGCCGATGCATTCGAGGCGGGACTTTTATTAAAAAAAAAAAAGAAAATGATTTTTTGCCTATTATTTCATGTCAGGCTTTACACGGTTAGGATGAATTTGCCAGTTCACATAAAAAAAGACAGCTGGAACTGTTTTTTGGAGTATTAAGAAGAATTAAAGAAACAATAAATGATGAGTAGTACAAGAAGGAATGTGGCAAGAAGAGACTGATACAGACCAGTCTTGCGTTTGGGAATGCCTGATGGCGATGTTGATGTCGGAGTTGCTGGAGTTCCTGGAGTACCTGAGGAAGCAGGGGTTATTTTATCAACAGAGGTACTCGACGTGACAGGAGTCGTTGGGGTTATGGGAGTTTTTGGAGATACAGTGGAAGCAGCCTTTGCAATAACAGAATCGTGTGTGTTTAGCATAGTAAGACATAGAAACAGAAACGTTAACAACAATACTGACATGTTGTTATGGTTGATGTTCATGATTACTCAAGTCTTACCTTCTCTGGCTTTGCTGTTTGAACTTCACTCTGTTTTGGCACCTGCTCTTTTACTATTGGCTGATCTTCATCATCGCTGTCTATGATTGCTCGACTGCGTTTATGAACCTTCTTCACAGGTGAATCATTTTCCTGCATGCCATTCTGAATTTTGAGGGGACTTTTTACAGGTCTAAGCAGCAGGAGAAAACAAAAACATTATTCAACATTATTATATAACAATATAACATTGCTTGTTTGTCTTCATATTCCTCCAACTCTATAGTTGTCACTCTTTCCAAAGAGAACACATACATAATCAATATAAATAGCTGCATTTAAGTTTCTACAACATTATGTTCAAAATCAAAGAAAAAATTTAATTTAATTAAACAATGTTTAAATCAGGAAAACATCCCTAAATATCACTCACTCGGCTTTTGCTTTGACATGTCCATCACTCTTTTCCTTGCTTTTCATTGGCTGAAAGAAAGATCTGTGGGCGGGAAACAACGAGATAACTTAAGACAAATGAGCTCGCGCAGGTTGATAACGTTACTGTTTTAGAAGTTATCCAATACATTTAAAGAAAGGCAATTTAAGGAAAAGGGGGGGGGGGGGGGGGAAAAAGGGGCCGTTTAAAAGTTTTTTGGGGGGGGTTGGGGGGGGGAACAATGTCGCCGTTAGAAAGTTAGTTGGTGTAGGTTAAACACAGTCTTCTTGTATCAGAATCAGACACTGCAGTTCATGTAATGTTCTGTGGTCAACAACAAAAGAAAGCAGGACACACTCACGCTATGCTTCGCTGCATTGTTGGGGTCTTGCACTGCTGATACTAAGTAAATCCGGAATATATTTTTAATATATATTTTAGCGTGTTATTAAAATTTCTGAAGCATCGATGTTTTCTTCCGCGCGCTTAACTCTGTATAATTCGGCGCCAAAGTGACGTCGTTTCCGCAGGCTACAGAACCAACGGAGTTTATTTAGTACAAAAGCATTTTAGTGCCGCCTGTTGGTTTGGAGGTATTGAATACAATTGTGTATCGCTAGGAAAAAATTCTCATATTGTTTACTCAAATTCGGTGTATTCACATGCTCATACTGCCACTAAAATAGTATATATGGATTTAGATTCCTCCTAGTTCATTGTTTCTCAGCCTTTTCCTTCTTTTGTTTCTGTTTCTTGACCTTGTGGGAAAATGTTTTGGTCCCCTTGAGGAAACAAGCTTATAAATCATACAGAATTATCTTTATTTATTATTATTATTATTGATTTTTTTTTATTTTATTATTATGAGATTTTTTTGAAAATCTAAAAATGCCGAACGTTTTGTGTGAGGGGCAGGGTTAGAGTTAAGGGATAGAAAACAGTATAAAAACCTTTACATTTATGTAGGCTAATGACCCTTAAAACATGGTAACCCAACGTGTGTGTGTGTGTGTGTGTGTGTGTGTGTGTGTGTGAAATTCCTTTCTTTAATTTGAATATTTTTGAAACTTTTTTTTATTCTGATCACCACCATTCACGTATATAATTGAAATTCATAATCATACGATTTCTGATAAGAAAAGGTGTTTTTGTGACGAAAGACTTATCTGAACAGAGCTGATCACATTGTGATATGATACTGTTCAAATTCAATGGTGTCTAAAAGCTGAATGAAATACACAGAAATCGATTGATCATTTTTGATAGTGATATCACAATTTTAACATGATACTGTATATTGATATTGTTTCTTTTTGCTCATCATCAGGAAGTGCTGGAATCAGTATGATATTTGATTGTTTGTGTTTAGTTTCAGTGGGAGTGTCATACAGTTATTGTGGTATGAAATATATTCTGTCTCTCTCCCTGTTCAGTCTTAAGCTGGATGTTTAGGTGAACCCCGCATGTAGAAAACAAGCCTGTCAACATACTTGCCTTCAACCTGCGTGAGACATGATGCACACACAACACACAAATGCTGATGGAATGATGTACTTTAACTTTTAGTTTTTAGTCACACTCACTTGTGATCCAGACATGGTTGCTAACACAGCATTCTTGTAACAATATTTTGAAAGACAGATGAATTATAGATAACTGAATTCTTTTTCTTTTTATTTAGTTATTCTGCCTATATTAGGCACTAGACATTTGGCCAGTGTCTGAACTGTTGTACACACCACTTCTAGAAAAGTGAGACCGCAAGGTGAAATATATTTGTCTTTTAAACACTCTGTTGATATGTCTACCTGACAGTCTGCGATGATATGGGGGGGAGGAGTTGGCTGTGAAACCTATTCCTGGTTTTAAAAAACTGGGTGGTCTCGTTCCTACAGACTTTATGGAAAGTAGCTAATTTCAAATAAGCCTAAAATATGTTTGCACAACAAACACACAAAAGATTGTAAACAAATGACAAATAGAAAAAGTTAAATATAATTCAATTCAATTCTATATGCCCATTGTGTATGCAGTGTTAAATGATTTTAAACAGGTCTCATGGTTGAACAAACACAACTATGTTTTGTCCAGTTATTAGGTACATCTAATTACTATGTACAAGAAACGAAAGGCTATTTTTGAAGCATCATATGTCACGAGAGCTCACTCATGTTAATTTTCACTTTCGTTTCATAAATCTTTGATTGCAGTACTGGGAAATTGGAAAATGCAGGCAGATTATGTAATACAGGTGGGTCTTTAAAAGGAGGCATAAACAGTCTGTATTTAAGCTCCACTATCTCCCTTCTAGAAACATAAAGTACACAAGTTTTTGTGTTTTGAGGTATTGAAGGTCAGATAATGGCTTTAAAGGAACTGACATTTATTCTTGTGATGTGTTCTTGGATTGTCTGTACTAACGGGGATGAATTCTTCACTTCAACAGGTATATTATTGTTTGTATTTGGATACGATATCAATTATTTCATTTGAGTTTATTCATTTTTTTATTTGTTATTTTACTGTTTTGTCCATATTTCTCTTATGTACTTGCTTTATTAATTTGTGAGACACTTCTGACTATAATCAAATTTTCACTTTTTTAATTCTTCATTTCATACAGTTATTATCTTTCTCTTTGGTTTCTTACCTAATGAATGAACCGGTTGCATTATACCACCAGTTATGTCAAATAAATAAATAAAAGATCATGAACAGTTCTTTGACAGTTAAGTGCAGATGTAATTGTTTTATAGATAAAATGTCACAACTTTATGAAGAAGAGGAATTCCTTCTGAAGACCTTCAGTTTGTACATTGATGCTGAAGAAGAAAATGTAAAGATAATGAAGAGGTGAAAATTCCCTAAACATTAAAGTATTTTTTATTAAAAGCTTTTCAGCTTACAGCAATAACCTGGTATAGGAAACTAGTGGATATTTAACAATCTTATATCTGGTTTTAGATCAAGATTATATTGATAAATACATTTATTTAACACTACAACATTTGATGTACATTTGATTTGAACTTTTATCTTCAATCCAGGCTTCTTCTGCTGCTTCAACTGGGCTCATTCTTAGACCCTGTGGACCCTGAAATCAAAGACCCTGTGGCAGCTTATAAACTCCTCAGACGAGTGAGGGCTGAATGGATAAACATTGTAGATTACACTCAACAGAGTCTTTATCAATGTGAGATCTTATTTAATTCTATAAAGTCAAATGTCTGAACATGCATTGTAGTTTATTTATAGAAATACAAATGTGGAGAAAAGCTGGTAATGAAAGAGTGAACCAGTGGTAAATGCTTTTTGATGCTACTTTATTCAACTTTTCAATGCAGTTGCTTATGGATCTGTTCTCATATTTGAAAATCTTGTAGTGTATCAGACAGTGCTGACATATGCACAAATCCCACAGCCAGAGGACTTGGATGGTGCCGCTTCAGGACTGATCAGACTGCAAGAGATCTACAAACTCTACCCACACAACATCACAAAGGGTGAAATGTTTGCACCAATGTGGTTTCACTGTGAGAGTTTCACTTTTTCCTTCCAAGTTCCAATCTGACTGATGCTTTCATTTAATATTTCACAGAAATGTCTCTAAGCGCGGATGAAGCCTACCATGTGGGGTTGGTCGCTTATAACGAGCACAAATTCCAGCATGCTTTTCTCTGGTTTCTGTACAGTCTGGACAGATCAACACAATACTCCAACACTACTAAGGAAAAGTTGCTCCTTTACCTTAGTTTATCTGCCTATCATTTTGGCAGCCTACCTGTGGCAATCTACTTCGGCCAACAGCTTCTAAATCTGGGTGAGCTCATGGTGTCCAGAATATTTTTATTTGTGAGGTTATCAGACAACTTTCCGATCAGACTATTGAAGGCATAAACTTCTTTGCCTCAGACCCAACTAACGATGAAGTCAAAGTTCTGCTGGGCCTTTACAGACGCCTTCGCTTCCAGAGAACTTCAAACCCTGACATATTAAGACTGAACAACGAGTCAAGTAAATATGAGACACTGTGCAGAGGAGAGGTTGATGAGAGGGCAAGTGCAGCTTCTCAAATTTAAATCATTATTTGACATGAAATTGTGAAACAGTCACTATAAATTCTTGTGTATTGGATGTTTATTATATTTGATAACATCAGACCTCTAAGAGGCAGAGGGCGCTGTCCTGTAGGTACAGCACAGGTGGAGGAAACCCCAGACTGATGTATGCACCAGTGAAAGAGGAAGTGGAGTGGGACGAGCCTGGCATCATCAGATATCATGACATTATTTCAGACAGAGAGATAGAGATCCTGAAGAATATCTCCAGACCTCTGGTGAATATCTAACACACAGAAACACGCACACACAAATCAATAAAATATTTGTCATTATTATTATAATCTAATATCTTGATGATGATTTACATATTTATATTTGATGTTCTGTTTACCTTTTGCTGCCTACTGTAGCTTTCTAGGTCTTTGACTACAGGGGGAGTGTCGAAGAATCGTACTTCTCAAGGGTGATTATAATCATATTTTTCACCTATTATGTTATTAACATAGAAATTAACATTTACATTATAATTCTGTTATATTATAGTACTTATATTATTTCTTCACACTTATTATTGGAAGACAAACGGAATGACTTTACAGTAGGGTTCAATTTGATAACAACAAATTAAATCTTCTTGTGAAGTGTTACTGAAAAATGATTTCCTTGTTTTTAGTGTTTTTCTAAAGGAAGACAATATTGTGGTTGCTCGTATCAGTCAGAGGATAGCAGACATCACAGGACTCTCCCAGAAATCAGCTGAAAACCTATTTGTACGGTCACAGTAAGAAAGAAATCACCTGTTCATGTGCAGACAGCATCTCTTTTTTAAGGACAACTCTGTCTCTAGTTTAGCAAAGCTTTGCAAAGCATGTTTTACAGCTAGCCTGGTCACAATCTCTTGCATAATATAATTTGGTTTAGTCTGCTTTTTGTAGCTTTTGCCAAAGAGCATAATAGGTTTGGGGACTGATATTATATTTTTATTTAGTCATTTTATATTCACCTCAATTATCAAACTTCAATGAACATCAAGGTATCTTCACGGATTAACACGTGTTTTCCTTGTGTAATATTAAGTGTTGTTTTACTTGAATTTTTCATTTCAATTGAGGTGCAATCATTTTCCAGGTTCAGAATTATGGGATTGGTGGCAGATATGAACCACATTATGATGAATTGGTAAGCTAAAGCCATTACATCAATTTGGCCAGTATTTGCCTTGGATTCCCTCATGAGTTAAATTATCATGTGGTTACTTAAAGAGACGTTCCAATTGCACCTAAAATTTTCTTTTTTCTCTTACATGTTTAAATTCACCTTTAAGGTTTTGACTGTGTCTGTGTGCAATTTATGTTGTTGATGAAAAATGTGAAAGTCATTCGTCAACTGTAGAATGACTTTCACATTTCTTTAACCCAGAGAGAACCCGTGGCTCTGTTTTAGGTCTTCAAACTTCAACTTTAATAGCTTTATTCTGTGTCAATGAGAGCTTGATAACATATTAACTAATCATATCATTGCAAGATAATTTAATGTTTGATCTCACAGGATGATGAGAATGGAAGGATTGCTACGTTCTTAATTTATGTAAGTTTAGACCTCCAAATTCCATTGTTACTTTATAAGTTCATTTGCCATATTACACTCTTAAAAATAAAGGTGCTTCACGATGCCATAGAAGAACCTTTTTGTCTAAATGGTTCCATAAAGAACCTTTAACATCGGAAGAACCTTTCTGTTTCACAAAAGGTTCTTTGTGGCGAAAGAAGGTTCTTCAGATTACAAAAAGGTAAGAAAGAGATGGTTCTTTAAAGAACCTTTGACTGAATGGTTCTTTGTGGACCCAAAAATGGTTCTTCTATGGCATCACTTGAAGAACCTTTTGAAGCACCTTTATTTTTAAGAGTGTACCTGTATTGCACAATCCTTATGAGCAATAAATGGTGTGCTCTTGCTGTAGATGAGTGATGTGGAGATAGGGGGCGCCACTGTGTTTCCTCAAGTTGGCGTTGCATTGAAACCAAAAAAGGTAAACCATCAAATCACTGATCTATATGGTATATTTAGAATGATTTAAGAATAATTCATGCATCCGCTCTCTACTGCTTAAGGGTTCAGCCGTGTTTTGGTACAACCTCCACAAGAATGGAAATGTGGATTTGAATACAAAACATGCTGGATGCCCTGTGTTAAGGGGTAACAAATGGGGTAGGTTTTTAAAGATATTGTAACCAGCTTGGATTACTGCTTCATTGTGTATCTTCTATAATGTATAAATACATTTATGTTAAAATGACTACATTTCATAAATATATTGGGTCTTTTCAGTGGCTAATAAATGGATCCATGAGTTTGGACAAGAGTTCAGGAGACGCTGTTCTTTGTCATACTGGGAGTGAAAGACACTGAGACCATGGAGAAATCATATCAAGTGCATCTGTACTATAGAAGTATCTGTTATATTTATTATGTATCATGTAAGCTTTGTATATAGGATCTGTAACACAGATAGCTACTGTATTGTATGCATTTTAACAGTGATTTACTACTGTCAAGGTGCCAGTAATATTAATAATAATTGTAATGTACAATAAAAAGTGCAATAGAGTAAAATAAAGTTTCAGCAAGGTATAAATGGATAATCACATTACCTGAGTGGATCAATTATAGCAGTCAGTAAGGAGTTATTCCTGTAAAATGAAGCCGAATTCTTGATTTTTCGTTTTTTGTATGAACAAATGTCATCAATTTTTCAGATTTCAATATTAAATTAAAATTCAGAATGTTTTGTTCAGAAAATGTGTATATTTATACCACTTCATATAGTTAATCAAGTTCACACGGAAGAGGGCCTTTTTTTCTCCAAAATTACCATATACAAATGTGATATTGATTTTTTACAACAGTTCAATAAACTAGAAGTTTTATTAAGAGACATACATTTTAGAGACCATATTGCCTGTTTCTGCACTATTTCGCCAACCAAAATAATTACAAACAAAGCCACAGCGCTGTTCTGCACGCAGAGATTGTAACTATAGATATTATGCTAACATATCCTCTGTATAGTACCTGTGATTAGATATATCAATATTTTATTAATAACAAAAATTATATATGTGTGTCTCACCCTCAGGCTTCAGTGTCTTCATGCATGTACATGACTTAAATGACATAAAACACCCACACATGATGTATGTGTGTACTAATTCTGACCCTCTTCAGTTATTATATGATTTCTTTAAGACAAAATTTTAGAAACTGTGTATAATCACATCTAATACAAACAGTGACTGCATCATTATTAACCCTTGGCTCACACAAAAAATATAACACAGAAATAATAAATTTTACTTTTAGTTTCTGCATTAGTCATAAATCAGACTTCCATGTAATGCATACGTGATTGTTGACACAGCATCCTGCAATAACACAACAAAAAGGACACTATGCCAGTAAAGCTTGACCAGGTAACATTAGAACAGGTTTTGATAATACAATAGTTTATAATGATAATTTTATATTAGGATGTCTCTCCTTTTCTATCATGATTATACCCTTTGCGGTCTCCAATTGTGCTACATGAAATTATATTGGTAGCTAAGAAACAAAAGTATATTGTGATATGTCATGACTGTCATTATGTCACATTTATGTTTTGTTATGAGGAATATTTTCATTTGATTTTTTTTATTCATTATTCTTTTTTTTATTCTTTTGGTCCGTGCGTTTCATCTTTGATTAGTTCCTTTTTCTTTGGTTGTCTACTTTTATGCCCTGTTTGTTTACATAGTTACTCATTTGTTAACTGATAGCAAATGTGTATATAGGCTTTACTTTCATTGTTCCCACAACTGCTGACACATGCGAACTAACTCATGTAAAGTTTCACTTTTGTTTTTCATAAAATAGTAGGAATACAGAGAAACTATAAAATGGGCAGGCGTGTCTACAGGTGTGTCTCTGAAAGGCGCAAATAAATGGTCTGTATTTAAGCTCAATTTCACTTCAAGGTATACATACTGAAGTTGTGTTTTGAGAAATTGAAGATTTGATAATGGCCTTAAAGGAACTGACATTTGTGGTGTGTTTTTGGACTGTCTATACTGCTAGGCATGAATTCTTCTCATCAACAGGTTATTAATTATATTTATGTATATATATATTATTTATATTATATTTATTAATTATATTTTTATTAGTTTAATCGTTAATACTTTAATGTTATAGTGTTCTATCCATATTTCTCTAACTGATGTTTTTACGCAGTTGCCATGACAAGTTAATTTTATGTATTCATTTGTAATAGACTAAAATACATTTTGCTATATTTCAATACTGATACGCTCATACAAACATAGTTGTAGATTTTAATTTTTTTATTTATTATTCACTAAACAATATTAACTCTCTCTTTGGTTTCTTACTTGAAACCTATTTCATTATACTTCTAATGACAAAAAAAATCAAATATAACATATATCAAATGTTCTTTGACATTAAGTGCAGTTTGTTCAACACTGTAGATCAAATTGCACAGCTTGTTGAGAAGAAAGAAGACCTTCTGCAGGGCTTCAGTCAGTACATTGATGCTGAAGAAAAGAATATAGAGACAATGAAGAGGTAATACACTTTCATTGTTCCCTCTATAAATTCTAAGATTAAAAAAGCATTCCGTTTTATAGCAATGGAGGTTTAACAATCTTATATATGGTGTTAGATGTATGATTAAGTTTTGTTGTTGTTGTTGTTGTTGTTTTTTAACAGTACAACTTCTGATGAACCACTGTCTTCAATCCAGTGTTTATCAGAATCTTCTGCTTTCACACTCCGACCCTATGGACCCTGAGGAAATCATGAGAGACCCTGTGGCTGCTTACACACTCCTCAGTCAATTAATAAATATTGTCAAACACATTCAACTGAGTTTTTATCAGTGTAACAAGTATCAGAATGAGTTGGACGCAAAGTTGCTAGAGATCCCACAGCCAGAGGATTTGGATGGTGCTGCTTCAGGGCTGATAAGACTGCAAGAGATCTACAAACTCTACCCAGAAGACATCATGAAGGGTGAATTGTCCGCGGTTTTGCACCTATGTGGTTTCACTGAGAGAGTTTCACTTTTTATTTCTTTCAAAAATCAGCTTCAATCTGTTTTGATTTCACAGACACATCTCTAAATGCAGAGGAAGCTTACCATGTGGGGTTGGTCGCTTATAACGAGAGCAAATTCCAGCATGCCTTTCTCTGGTTTCTGTACATTCGTAACACATTTAAAAATTACTCAACTAATAAAGTTTTGACAAATTACCTTAGTTTCTCAGCCTATCGTTTTGGCAGCCTACCTGTGGCAATCTACTTGGACCATCTTCTAAATCTGGGTGAGCTCATAGTGTCCTGAAGTTTAATACTAATATTTTTATAATTGAGCTTGTCAGTCAATTTGACCCAATTGTTGTGATTTAAGTCATAAACATCTTTGCCCTTAGATTCAACTAATGATGAAGACATAGATCAGCTGAACAGACTCCTACACTTACAGAAATACCCTGACATATTGACACTGAACACAGAGTCAAATAAATATGAGACACTGTGCAGAGGAGGGATTGATGAGAAGGTAAGTGCAAAGTCTCAAATTTAAATCAATGTCTGACATGAAATTACAACGGTCAATGTCAATCTTTGTTTTTCTATATTGGAATGTTATTATATTTGATAACATCAGACCTCCAAGAGGCAGAGGGTGCTCTCCTGTAGGTACAGCACAGGTGGAGGAAACCCCAGACTGATGTATGCACCAGTGAAAGAGGAAGTGGAGTGGGACGAGCCTCGCATCATAAGATATCATGACATTATTTCAGACAGAGAGATAGAGTTTCTGAAGAATGTCTCCAGTGAATATTTAACACACATACAAAGACTACAATATTTATTTGCTGTTATTGCCAGTATAATTAGTGTCTCATTTCTTGTTGATACTGATTAATTGTGCTATTCAGTGGGCATAATGATGCTTTATTGTGCCATTCAATGGGCAAAAATGTGCACACTCCTTTAAAATGATCAGGTTTGGCCCCGTGGTTCTAGTGAAAACAAATTTCAGTCGCTGCGCCTACGTCATATGCTCGAACACTTTGTCGTGAATGTGCCTGCTTGAGCGACCGGAAGCTGGAGATTACAGTTTATACATTTTTTTAAATCTATATTTTTCTTACACTAACGCATCATTTTGCTTCAGAAGGCCTGTATTAACACCCCGGAGCTGTGTGGAGTATAGTTTTATGATGGATGGATGCAGTTTTTTAGACTTCAAAAACAGGGGCACCATTCACTGCAGTTTGGAAGAGCCAGGACAATTTTAAATATGACTGCGATTGTGTTCGTCTGAAAGAAAAAATTCAGATACGCCTAGGCTGCCCTGAGGGTGAGTAAATCATGGGCTATTTTTCATTTTTGGGTGAACTATCCCTTTAAGCACCAGGAGGAATGAAACAGAACGCACAGACGCAGATAATTCACACACACACTACACACACAAATCTCTCTCTCTCTCTCTCTCGAACAAACTTTAATAATTTTAACAATAATTAATTCAAATAAATGTTATAATTCATTAATTCATTCAAATAAATGTGATCTATATATATATATATATATGATGTTCCATTTACCTTATGTGGCCTACTGTAGCTTTCTAGGTCTTTGACTATTGAGGGAGTATCAAAGATCCGTACTTCTCAAAGGTGATTATCTAATTTTTCATCCATTATATTCACTCAAAATTAACATTTACATTACATTACTGTTATATTATAGCACTCATATTATTTCTTCACACTTATTTTGGGAAGAAAAATAAACACAATTTTTTTCAATTCAATAACTAAACAAATTCAATCTAATTGTAAAGTGTAACTGAAAAATCATGTCTTTGTATTTAGTGTTTCTTTAAAGGAAGACAAGCCTGTGGTTTCTCATTTCAATCAGAGGATTGCAGACATCACAGGACTCTCCATGAAATCAGCTGAAGACCTACATGTACGGTCACAGTAAGAAAGAAATCACCTGTTCATGCACAGACAGCATATCTTTTCTTTACTGCTCAAACTAAATAAACTTCAGACTGTAACTTTTGCCATAGCTCGTATATCAGCTTTGATATGATAAATATGATAAATGATATATGATGATATTTTATGATTATAATATATTTTATATTCACACTTCAACAAATTAAACATGTTCTGTTCCCTGTGAAATATGAGTGATGTAATCATTTTCCAGGTTCAGAATTACGGGATAGGTGGCAGATATGAACCACATTATGATACATGGGTAAGATTACAATGTTAATAATATACAGACATTTGTATAGAACAATTTTTATAGAACCAACACAGAATTTGCCATGGGTTTCCACAGTAAATTCTCCATGGTGTGGGATTTTTGAGAAAATATTATACTGAACATTTTCATATAAAGTGACAACAAAATACTCTGCACAAAAGAAAAAAATATATATATGAAAAAATAAAACGTTTATGACTTCAAAAAAAAGTCTGTGGTTATCCCTTCTTGAAGAGATTTTATCATTGCTCTTTTTTTTTTTTTTGAAAAGTCATGTGCTTCACATCACAACTAAAATATACCTAAAATGACAAGCTATTTTTGTTGGGGATGATTAATCAAAAGTTTGGTAAATAATGTAATATTTAGCCTATCCACGCTTTGATGACAACACAATCTAATGTGTTCCTCTCTCTTCCAAGTGTATTACTCCAATTAACCTAGTTGATTAATTGTCCTTAACCCAGAGAGACCCCATGGGCTGAAATTGCTAATTCGCTTGTAGGACTTCAAACTGAATCACTATATTCTGTGTCAGTGAGAACGTGATTACATATTAACTGAATCATTGCAAGATAACTTAAGACTGCTTGATCACACAGGATGATGAGAATGAAAGGATTGCTACATTCTTAATTTATGTAAGTGATGCCCTTGTCATTATCCCAAATGGCATTATAAATATTAAATGCCTACATTATAAGTTTATTGTTGTAATATGAGTAAATCATGTCCTGTGCCTGTAGATGAGTGATGTGGAGATAGGGGGCGCCACTGTGTTTCCTCAAGTTGGAGTTGCATTGAAACCAAAAAAGGTAAACCCTCAAATCACTGATCTATATGGTATATTAGAATGATTTAAGTAAAATTCATGCATCAATTCTCTGCTGTGTAAGGGTTCAGCTGTGTTTTGGTACAACCTCCGCAAAAATGGAAATGTGGATTGGTATACAGAGCATGCTGGATGCCCTGTGTTAAGGGGTAACAAATGGGGTAGGTTTTTTTTAACAACTTGTATTACTTTTTTATTGTGTATACATAAAAATAAATCTATGTTAATGTGACTACATTTTATTTCAGTTTCATATGACATTAAGCTATATTTTTAATGGTGTCTTTTCAGTGGCTAATAAATGGATCCATGAGTTTGGACAAGAGTTCAGGAGACGCTGTTCTTTGTCATACTGGGAGTGAAAGACACTGAGACCATGGAGAAATCATATCAAGTGCATCTGTACTATAGAAGTTTCTGTTATATTTATTATGTATCATGTTTTTAGATTGGATCATAGTAGAATTTATTTCTGTTTAGGTGCCGGTAATGTTAATAATAGTTCATATACAGCACAACAGTAATAAACAAAAAAGATCAATAGATTAAAATAAAGTTTTAGCAAGATATAATCACATTGCCTGAGTGGATCAGCAGCCAGTAAGGAGTTATTCCAGTAAAATAGTTGTTATTGCATTCTTTGCAGTTACATTTAAAACTTGATTTTAAATGTTTCCTTTTAATTTTGTGCTGGAATGATGATTTACATGTTTTGCAAGTATTTAAATTTTTTTTAAATGTGTCAACCCCATCTGCAAACAGAAGATTCTGCCCCTTTGATTGCTAATGCTAAAATGCACTTTAGTCCATATCGAGGTGCCCCGTAAAGTCGATTTGTAGATTTCTAAGGGGGACACCACCACACCACATATAGAACCATCCCCAACTGTACAATATAGAAGTACAAATTTCATACTGTTAGCTTATACTGTACAGGATCTGCAGTGTGTATGTATATGTATGCATATAAGTTCAGTCATAAAATATCTACTAGCAATCACATTGCTACACAGCTCAAGCTGATTGGCCTCTGTTGATTCTGCAGCCAATGAGCTTGCTTTCTCAACATTCAAATAGTCAAACCTGCAAAATCTGCAATCATCCAGTGAGTGCCAAATTTATTTAATCCAACAAAATGTAAAAAAAAAATGCATAAAGAAAACCCTCTTTATTTAACTATGTGTTATTAGACAGACACTTCATAATTTTACACTCAATTCAAATGTTTTGCAGATAAATCACTTTTCAAATTATTCATGTGTACTCTCTTGTCTCTTTAAATTAATAGTATTAAATATATAAAGTGCTTTGCACTCACACTGCCAGTAAGGATTTATAAAATAAAAAAGTAGATAAATATATTAAAACCAATAATATTACTAAAACTTCTAATGCATGGTCTCAGGAAATATTTTTCTGTCATTGTTGTTGTCATGGTTTTTGTCTTGTGGTCCACTTTTAATCCTCTCTTGTAATCCCATGACTCTGTTGAGAGGCCACTCTGTGCTGCTTTTGACTGGCCAGTTTAAAGTCTGTGTGAACTGAAAGGCGGGGTTGACTGGTGACAGGTAGGAGAACTCTGATAGGTTAGTTCCTGAGGGAGGCGGGCCAGAAAAGAGGGGAAACTGCCTTTGGATTGGATGTGTCTGGGGAAAGGGGAGGGGTTTGGGGAAAGTGTATGGCAGGAAAAGGGGATGAGAAATTGACTGCACAGCTGTCCACAGACAACATGCACACACAAACAAACATGGACACAAAGAAAAATTGTGTCAATGTTAAAAATGGAATAAAATTTTCAGTGCTCAAATCAGTGATGATATCTCAAATAAGCAATATTTCATTGTTAAAAGGTCAGCAATGACACTCTTACCCCTGTCAACAGAAGGGGGGTTGAAGGAAAGCTGAGAAGGAAAGACAGAGAAAGGGACAGATGTTGTATTCTGAAAAAGTTAAAATAAAAAGTTAAAAATAGATTTACAGCTATGCAATAAAACATTTAAAACACTCTCACGCACCTGTGGGCAGGTTGGAAGACTTGGGTAATTCACTAAAACTAGTTTGCTGAAGTTAAACTTATAGGTAAAACGTTTCCCTTTGGTCTTATGCAGAATTCGCTTATTATAATAATACCTGAAGAAAAAAAACAGATGTCAAACTAGGTATTAGTCAACTCATAAAATATCATAAAAATTATGCATTGTGTGTGTGTTTCTATATTTTTTGTATGTATGAAAGTCTGTAGGCCTTCATGGAATTGGAATAAGAAGCACATGACATTACAGGATCTGAAAATATAGGCTATGTCATAATAATATATAATATTTGTAGCTATAGATATTGTATTAACATGTACTGTAGGCCTATGTATCTTTGAAGTAGATATATCACATTTTTTTCATATAGCCTACTGTAACAGCTTTTTAGGGGTTTTTCTTTATAGTTTTTCTCTGTAAATCTGGAGAGAAGTGTGACAGTCATGTAAACTTACATAATTATTCTTTAAGTAATATATCTCAATATTATAGCCTAATTTTCGTAGGTCCTATCCTATGTATGAATTATTGGTCAGTGCATGTACCTTAAAGCTCTGCTGAGTTTGTCATAATTCATGTGCGGCTTGCCCTTCCTCTCCCCCCACAGTTTAGCCAATCTCTCTGGGTCTCTGATCACAAACTCTCCCCATTCGCTGCCCCACGTGATCGCTCCGCCTTCTCCACGCCCCAACAGCTCTAACAGGAAGTGCCATAACTGCACCTGCCGCGAGCCTGGAGACCACGCTGGTTTATACGCCCAATCAGGGAACAGCACTGCTGAGGGAAAGAAGAACTTATTTAATGCTGCTTTAAAGATATAAACAGTAATTAGATACAATTCAGTCAAAACAATTAACGGGACACCAAAGCTTCCAGCCAGGTTTCGAACTCTATATTTTTCCTCGCACACAATGTGCAAGGATGTTTGAACTCAGCCTTACGAAAAAGAAGTTTATTCAAGTGTGCTATTAGTATACTTCTTTTAAACTAAAAATAGGAAAGTATACTTTTAGTCTACTTTTTATGTACCTCTCAGAAATGGGCTTTATGTACTTCTCAGAAATATACTTAAAATGACATTTAAGTATACTTGACTTATACTTAGAAAAAGTCTAAATATATTTGAGCTATACTTGTGTTCCTAGAATCCGTGTTTTCATTGTTATACTGTAGGGGCGATAGTACACATCTTCTGTACAGAATTTCCAAAAAACACAAGTGAAGAAGAAACCGAAACAACAGATGCTTCCACATGTAATCTAACACGATCATCAGACATAAAACAGCATCAAAACTGTGTAACATTATGGAATAAAATGTCGACCAATGAAGCGGTAATAATGACTGTCAAGCTTTGGGGGTGTTGATCGACTTTATCTACGTTTTGATTATCATTCTGAATCCAATTCATAGTCTTTTTTCAGCTTTTTGTTCAAAATGTTGTTTATTTCTTTATTTTTTATTTATGAAACTTATCCACATTCAAGTGTTTAAAAAAGAATGCATGAAGCTAGAATAAAATGTAAATGTTGTTTACAAGCAGAAACCCTGTTCTTTTGATGTTTTGTATGTTCAGATATTCATGTAACAAAATATATACAAATTAATACCTAAATAGGGACATAGTAGTATACTTAAAGTATGATATAAAGTTCACTTAAAGAAAACTTACGAGTATACTTGCAGTATAAAACTACTAAACTAGTAGTTTACTGAGACTATACTTCAAAGTGTACTAAAAATGCTACTACAAGTATTTAATTAGAAAACTATCAGTATTATTTGTATACTTACTACATAAAGTATACTTAAAAATATACTTGAACTTTACTTAAGTATACTTACTAAAATAAACTTGAAGTATACTACTTTTTGTAAGGGCAGCCAGCCAAAATAAACAATTCAGAATCATATCGCATAATATTGTTCTCAAATAACGGTATTGGGATCTCCTTAAGTTTCAAAGTAGGCTGTAATTTGGCAAATATCCTTTCAAAAGGCGATATGTGAAGAGACATGTTAATATGCATTTTCTGTTATGATCGTAACGGATGTGGGCTAATTCTGTAACCTAGTTAAATTTAATAAATGTGTTACGTGCTCCAAATGTGTCTTATAATACATAGGCTATTTTGCTTGGGCGAATTTCTCAGCATGTGTTTCAAGGTAAAATGATAAAGCAAGTAATATTTATGGGCTATATAGTTAGAAACAATGCAGTCATGGAACTATATGGAATTAGCAAAGACAAACAGTATGTTTAACAATCTGCACCAGCTCCATACATTCACTTACTTCTGCTCCAGTACGTCGAGGAAAAAGGACCCAGAGAGGAATTACAATTACACTCCATCTGTAAGATATTAATATCTTCATCATCATCTTCATAATCAGCATCATCCTTATTCCCTGAGCTCAATTAAATCATTGCGTAAAAATAAGAAGCAGTTCGACTGTTTGGAATCCAGTTACCAGTAGAGTTTCAGTTCTTGTCACTGCAGAACTGTTTTTGCAGAAAATTCGATTATATGAGTTTCATTTCTGTGTCGTTCGATCTATTGTTTTGTTGCATATTTTGTATGCTGCCGATAAGACTTTTAAAGATTTCACAATGTAAAAAATAAATGAATACAAATAATTATTTTCTAAATTATATTGGTTACATGTGTCCGTCTAATGCGTCAAAACTATTGTAACATTCACTTCTGTGACCGTCTTATTTAAATAAATTCTAAAATCAAATTCTTTAGCCTACATTTTTTTATTTAGACATTGACAGTTCTTTCTTTAACACATTATACTATATTTAAAAAACATGATATAAAATCACTAAATAAGCACTGATATTAAAAAAATAAAAAGAGGAAAATCTGTAAAAAAAATTCTAAACTTTAAATTGGATTAAATCAACATATTTTAGTAAGTAATGTTTGCAACCAACAAGTAGTGCATTAAAACTCAAACAATGCAGCCTAAATGGGACTACTGGTCTAATTAATCATTTATAAGATCAGAAGATCCTGTTTAAAGTGAGCGGTACCTGTTCAATGGAGATGCTCTTTTCTGGAGGAATGATCAGAAGAAAGACACCTGTAACCCCTCACTCTCTGTTTATCTTTACCTCTATACCTCTCTCACATTTACTGAATTACCTTCATCCCTTATCTCTCCTTCTCTCTCACTCTCTCTATCCCAATCCAAACTGACATAGGTGATATCCAACCTTTCCTTTTTGAGGAGGATGTTTTTTATTGGATGTGATTTTGCCTGGTTTAACACACAAGGAGAGAGAGAGAGAGATCTTAGCTAACATTTAGCTAATGTAAGTTAAATTAG